CGTTCAAACTAGGCTGCTTATGTTGAAGTGTTTGGGATGTGGGTTTTAATGATGAGACCTTTTTTGTATTCAGGCTCTCAAAAAGTATATAAAAATTTGGATATAGATTTATCGGTTATCGGCTTTCAAAAATAAAGAATTATCGGTTATCGGTATCGGCCAAAATGTTCATATCGGTGCATCCCTAGTTATAACCCCTCATTTACAAGACAAAACGCGAACCTTTGAGAAATTATACCATTTTCGTCTCCGTGTAAACTTTCACACTCTCCTCCTGCACTCTAAATAAGCGCGCGCGTCTTCATCTATTGTATCCGGAGAGACTGCAATACAGTTTTGCGCTACGTACAGCGCCCCAATGGTCAAACCACTTTATTCCCGATACTTATATTAGTTACTTTACATTAGGCCTTTACATCAAAAATATCTGATGACAATTATTTTAATTTAATTTTTTTTTGTCCACTAATCGTTTCAGCACTACGGATCCAGCTATATATCCTATTTCTACCCATATTCCACGACTTTGTTAAAAACGAACACAAACACATATTACAGTTTTTTGTTCCTTAAAAGGTAACTTAACTGAGTGCTTTAAAGGGGTCATATGATGCTGCTAAATAGAACATTATTTTGTGTATTTGGTGTAATGAAATGTGTTTATGCGGTTTAAAGTAAAAAAAACACATTATTTTTACGGATCCGGCTAAAGACCTATATCCTATTTATACCCATATTCCACAACTTTGTTAAAAACGAACACAGACACATATTAGTTTTTTGCTCCTTAAAAGGTAACTTAACTGTGTGCTTTAATTCACTAACGTTACAAAAAATGTAAACTAATCACGTTTGACACAAATCATATAATGCTGCTCAAACATTGATATTAAAAACGTATCAAGTTACCAAAGTTCAAAACCATGACTGTCTCAGAAGCATGGTCAACAATCAGCAGAAATCCAAGCCAAATCTTAAAAACAAAATCTGAACAATCTGTTTTAGACCAATGACCATCTTGATATATACATTTTCTGGTAACGTTAGCAGACTGCAAAAATTCCACATGCCACAGTTCGCCTATAAAATGGCGCGCGCGCGACTTTAGACTCGTTCTGAAAAGAACACGATCAGACTTTAGTCAATAAAAATGATTGCTGTGTGCGACATGAGATGACAGACGAAACTACGCATATTCAAAGCTTTAATTCATTAATAAAGCGGCATGACAGGCTGAATTTACAAAAATCACACGTCAGACCTCCTTGGCTGTCTTGTTATTCATTATTAGAATTATTTGCGATCGAAAAATAGATAAGACTAGGACAAATTATAAATATTAGAATCAATTTACAGTCTGTATCTGTATTATAACATTAAAATATCAGACTTACCACCACTCTTCCACTGAAGTAAAATGGCGTCCGCATGTGGTCTGTTTCGATCAAAATTACGTCTAGTCTGCATGTTAATGGAGGTGTGGCTTGATTAACTCTGAACGAGAGTTAACGTTTGAAACTACCTAAAATGACACCAACTCTTATTTGAAAACTGACACTTCTGGTGTTAGACCTATTCTGTTCAGTGTTGATCCAACACTTTATTTTAACACTTTATTGTAACACTGGAAAATCAACACTGGTAATATTTACTGTGTGGGCGTGGTCACATTAGCGATAATGAGGGCGACGGCCAAGACTTGACATCGCGTTGGTTTCATACTGATTACTTTGTCACATAATATTTGTTTTCGTCATGACTTACTTCGTTTAAAAGTAGACATGTTAAGCTTTCTATAGATATATCTGTCATGTGTGTGTGTCAAATATTCGCTGAGTTTCAGTTCATTTTAGTGACACGTTTCAAACAGATATGCGCGGAGAATGAGACGGCTAAAAGCACACCCTGTTTATTTTCTTTATTTTGCAAAAGCACAATGTTTTGTTGATATTGTGTGTACACAAATAAAAGTAGACTTACAGATTTAAATGCTGTATTACTCTTATATGTACGGTCAAGTATGAAGGAGCATTTTAGTTATTTTCGCTGTCATCATTCAAATCTGCAAAAAGTTCCGCCGCCGGAACTGTCGACCCCAGGGGGTTAAAAGACGCGTCGGAAACTTCATCGACACTTACAGCAACCCAGTGTGAGGTTTTCTTTCATGCCCGGAGATCAAACATAAAATTTGTTCTCTGAATGACTCATTTCCTGGTTAAAACTCCTCGTATGAGTGTCTGCATGTATAATTCAGTTTAGACAGTTTGAAAGAATGTTTAGTGTCCGTAGTATGGAAATGATCGCTGCTAGTCGCTGCCGGAGTGAACGAGTCTTGAGAGAGATGTGAGTGAGGGCGCAGCCTCCGCCGTGTTGCCAGATCCAGCTAATATAAGGGTCTTATAACTTGTATCTTCCACTAATTATGGTTTGTTTTTATTTTATTATTATTTTTTGTTGGTGTTTTTTATTTGTTTTTCATAGCAATATCTGGCAACACTGCATCGCCAGCACTTAAAGTGCACTTATTATGCGTAATGAAAGGTTCATATTTTGGTTTTGGGAGTCCCCAACAACAGGTTGACATGCATGCGAGGTCGAAAATCACTTTCATTGTCTTATAATATGCATTTATTTTTACCTTACTTGTTCAATGACTCCCAAACGATTCGCTCAACGATTCATTTTTCCAAACCCCTTCTTTGCGTGACGCTAATCTGCGGTGATTGGTCCAATTGGTCTTATTTTCATTTCATCATGCCTGTAATGTCTGATAAAGCAGCATTTGTGAGCGCAGTGCTCCTTTGTGTACAGCGTTACCGGGGAAACAGCTATGTTTACCTCCAAAAGCGGCACCTAGTGGCAAAAAATGAATTTGAATGTTCATTCAGACCAACGTGAAAAGACCAACAAGTGGGCAAACAAAATGCTAATGTTTCATGTTGATGTCAACATGAAACGGCTTGGGATTCGTTTGAAAAAACGACTCGTTTCAATGATTCAGAGTCGACTCTTTCTTTTGAGACAATAACTTTATACACGGTGCACTTTCAGATTTAAAACTTTGCAGGATGTTTTCATTCACTTAGAGCTGTGTTACACACTGCATGAAAGGTCATTTTCAAAAATCCATAATAGGGGCACTTTAAACAGTAGCCCACAGACAGGTTATTGCTGATAGGATACCACATTATGTAAGGCAAAGGCGGTAACACTTTACAATAAGGTTCATTAGTTAAACATTAGTTAATGTATTAACTAACATGAACTAACCATGAGCAATACATTTGTTACTGTATTTACTAATCTACGCTCACGTTAGTTAATAAAAATACAGATGTTCATTGTTAGTTCATGTTAGTTCACAGTGCATTAACTAATGTTAACAAGATTTTAATAATGTATTAGTAAATGTTGAAATTAACATTAGCAAAGATTAATAAACGCTGTATAATGCAGTTAATTATTAGTTCATGTTAACTAATGTAGTTAACTAATGAACCTTATTGTAGTGTTACCGCAAATGCAAAAAAAAAAAAAACATGTTATTATCGGTCAGAAACATTAGTACTATCAAAACAGTAGCATTCAACATTATACACAGATCTGTAGAACAAGTAGGTTACAGAATTAAATTAAATATGCAAACACTAGCCATGGTGAAGTCTATGCTATTTAATTCAGTATAGCAGTTACATTTTCGCAAAATCATGCTAAAACATTCATAAGAGCACTAGACAAAGTTATCATGTTGTAGTTATTAATGAAAACTATAACAGTAATATGTATTGTAGCATGAATAATAAACAACTGATAAAATGATCCACCCCTAACCCTATAGAAAAGTATTAACAAATTTTGATGCAATAAATATGGAATGATTTAACAATGTTCATCTCTCCAAAACAGAGAAAACATCTTTCACAAACATCTACATGTCTGTGTAAGGCCGCTTTGATCTCCTCGTGAAGCTAAAATTTCAGGACCAAAAAACAGATGTCATGCAACCAAACAATAAACTTTCTAATCTGAAGAGAAGATCTACTATTTTTTCAAGTGTCCCTGCACCAATCCTTAAACCCCCCTCCTTCCCTCCAGGACATATGGCCCAGGTCACTGAAAGTTGACTTGGAAGTGTCAAGGACTCAAAGTACTATCCTTACATTTTGTGGTTATTATATCTTAAGAATCTATGATTGTAACCTTTTCATGTTTAGTATCGTTCTAAAGATCTCAGTGTGATTGGTAAAATGGTCTCATTTTCACAACAGTCACTTTATCATATTATGATAAAGTGTCAAAACACTACTTTAGGATTCTGTAACCAGAAAAAAAAAGAAAAAAAAACCCAGGCAGTATGTGAGAGTCTCTGGAGCTCTGCACTAGAACTCTCGCTGCTGTGTGTCTCTCTGCTGTCAGGTATGCATTTCGTTTTTTATTCAAAAGTGTAATTGTGTTGAACACATTGGACTCATAGAACACACTTTATAGTTGTTTG